GCCCACTCTAGAGAGTATCAATGGTGACAAATATATTATATACGGCATGGCCACAGGACCTGTGAATGAGAGTCGCAGAGTGAACATGGCGAAAGTCTTCCTCTCGCCGATCAAAGGTAGAAGAAATCTCTACGTGATGAAGAATATCCAACGCCGTTCTCCTGGACGGGATGACAGTGGTCGGAGTATGTTAAAGGACGATAGGTCGGTCGATGTGAAAGTGTCAAAGGAGGTGATTCCATCTGCCGGCAGTATCGCCAGTCCATAAATATTAATGCTCTCCGGTATCGGACCTAAGCAACATCTGCTCGAAGTGGGAATAAAAAGCGTTGTTAATTTGCCAGTCGGCAAAAATCATCCCTTCATACCCACATCGGTTGGCAGGGCTTATACTTGGCCTACAAGAATGAGACCGTGACGCCACCATTACCCGCCTACAATTTGGGCGAGGTTTATCAGTACCTGATACATAAACGAGGCCTTTTGGAACCAACGGTGGCTTAAATTTCGTAAGTTTCGTCAATGTAAGTGACTCGAACTCCAAGTATCCCAACATGCAGTTCTCTCACACTCATTATTCACAAGGGCATGTGAATCAAATGGACATGCTGTCGAAGTTATACTTCCTAGATGACGATATGAAGCATGAAATAATGAAAATAGATAACAGATTTGATATAACAGTGCTTATTCTGATAAGGCCGAAGAGTATGGGTGAGTTACGTGCGCAGCAAGGATCCGGTGGTTCCTGTTAAAATCTATGCGGACTACTTTTCTGAACAAGAAGATATTGAGACGATGTTTAAGTCCTTAGATTTCATAAAGGAAATGCTGAAAACCGAAACATTCGTACGACAAGGAGTATGGCTGCATCATTTGGACATTCCTGGTTGTCGACACACAGAACCTGACTCCGACGAATATTGGAGATGTAACTTGCGACATTTGTCCTTCACATTTATCTATCCATGTTGTACGGTCAAAATGGGTCCGCGAGACGATCTTACGGCCGTAGTGGACGCTAGATTAAGAATACACGGAATGCAAGGTCTGAGAGTCATCGATTCATCTATCATGCCAACAATCACCAGCGGAATGGCGCCTGTGATAATGATAGGCAAGAAAGGCGCGGATTTAATCAAAGAAGATTGAGCATGGAAAGACAAGAGCGAGCCATAGAAGAGAGCATTACGTACCTGTTGTAAAGCTAAAGTGTCATTTTCTTTATCTCTTCGAGTCATATAAATGACGAACTATTATACTGGAAAATTTTATTTTATGGGGATTGGAGGCACAACTATTATATATTATTACTACTATATATATACTATTTTATCAAATAATTCTATAACATACATTTTATTTCGTAAAGTATTTTACTATATATCATATGTTTTATTATGCTAATAATTGAATTATGATATTTTACCAACATTACGCACCATGATAAATATAATACATAAATATAAAAATATTGGTCAGCTGAAGATCAACATAATTTTTTTCAATTGGACATCCCTATTTCTCATTGTATTTTCAGTTTGAGCAAATTCAAGCGAATATTTATGGTATTTTGATAATTTTGTATAAAATCATTTACAGCCGTCCAATAAGATTTTAACACGAGACAAAAGATGTGTCTACGCAAGCATGTTGGCAAAAACCAACTTTTTGCGAACGACTAATCAGAATGATTTATTTTTATCATACATACGAAAAACATATTTCCGGAAAAAAAAAGACAGAGGTGTTAAAATGTATGTTTCTCTCTCTAAATTTCTCCAGACACAGTCTGCTACGTATCGCCAGTCCATATATATAAAATCTATTATACTTCTTTTTAGTGCCATACCTGTGTCCAGGTGTAGGTGACCTCTCTCATATGCCTGTGGTGCGCACGTTGAATATACACAAGCATATGGGACCTACAGTTTAACGCCGGTTTCGAACGGTAACATTTTTAGAAAGGTTATACTAAGATATCCTCGGTGGTTTGCCATTGCCTTCCGAGAGGAGATGCGAGCATAAATATTTTAGCTCCTGCCGGGGTCAAATTCGGAATCGCTCGCATAGTAGACCAGTGCTGGCATAGTAGACCTATTCGCTATGCCACGTTCGCTCTCCATATCTATTATACACATTTACATATATGCATAAACGTTTACTCGTTTCGCGGTTATTTTAAGGAAGGTAAATATTAGAAATATCTAAGATATTATATTGTGCAAGATTTCAAATGCAATTCGCGTTAAGAAACTCAGCAAATATTGTCAGTCACTTCAGTGTTTCTATGAGTAACGTATCGTGTAGACTCTACGTGTCTATTTTAGTACGTATCTTTACGATTTTGCCAACGATGAAACTTGCAAAATTGCAAGATAAAAATTTATATTTTTAGCTGAAGCACACGACATTTTTTCCAGCATATTCGAGAATGTTTTTATACAAAAAAGAAGGCAAGACAGAGAGGACATGCCATAAATTCTCCAAACACAAGGCCAATCAAAAGGTTGCAACAATTCTAATTTTTACATACTTTGAAACGCATAAGTCATAAAGACAAAGTGAGCATACAATTGCAAATATCGCAATAATTCTAATTTTTTATACTTTGAAACGCATAAGTGATAAAAAAATTATGATTCACGGACATGTGCAAAAAATAGTCAAACAGCAATTAAATTCGATAAGTAAAAAGTTAACATATGCAATACGCATATGTGAAAGTGACTCATGTATTTTCACAGCTGTTAGACAACATACTGCACCTGTCCGTAAATAAGAGCATCATTTCATACTATATCTTTGACAAATGGGTAAGCATTAATTTATTTTTAATTGAAAATGTCAAAGGTTTTCAAAAATACTTCGACGAGAGATTCTCTACGTTGTTTCAGTCGGCTCTGCCGGTATATATAAAGCACGTTGAACAGTTCAGTTCAGTTAATCATGAAACACGGGAAACTAAAACACTAGAGGACTTCATTTTAAGTTTTGGATATCTTTTCCAGAACATACTGACAAGGTGATTGGTCACATAAAAATAATAAAAATAGGAACGCAAAATAAATCTATCAGACGCACGGTGCGTAATCATTGAAATACAAACTCTTGTCCAATGGAATAATTAAATTAAAGTGTATAAGTCCTACTAATATTTAAATTCCTTGAAATTTTATTTAATCCAACTTATAAACAAAAAATTAACCGATAACCAGCATAGTATTCCGACAAAACTTGCAGATAAATCAAGCAATACGCATTAATATGAAATATTATATATTCAGTAGAACAGAATGATTTCGTACGCGACACAGTCGAACATGGAGACGTGCCTGACAGCTACTTGTGCCGCTGCAACGACTAGTAGTGCTTCCACATCGGTTTTCCTGCAACTAGTGCAAACGATTCTAACAGCACAGTGCAGTTTCAACAATAAGAACATTTACCCACCGGATCGTACAGAAGAAATCGCGTATAACAACATCGAATACGACTTTATCATCGTGGGTGCCGGTACCGCAGGCTCTATAATAGCTAATCGACTAACCGAAATAGAAAACTGGAAAGTATTGCTGATCGAGGCCGGAGATGACCCTTCAGCTATCAGTGAAATCCCGCTGTTATTCCCAGAGACATTATTGACGTCGGAAGATTATGCTTACAACGCCGAGCCCGATGAAAGCATTTGTCAAAGTTTCAAGAATAAAGTGTGCAAATGGAATAGCGGTAAAGCTCTGGGGGGTAGTTCTACGATAAACGGTTTGATGTACACTTACGGCAACGATGAAGATTACAACGAGTGGTCCCGGATGGGTAATGAAGGATGGAGTTTTGAGGAGGTCTTACCATACTTCAAAAAATCGCAGGCCTGCGATCATG